TAACGTCAACAGCTGGGACCCCAGGGCCAGCAGGGTGTCCACACTCCCAGGCAGCCACTGCTGCCCTGCGGATCATAGCCCTTTCCTCCCCTGAAAAGAGGATCCCAAGGATGGACATGAATTCTGCCCAGGTGTATAACTGAGGACCCAGGAGCTGATCCACTTGGTTTGCAACCCCATATGGATCTTCAATTAATGGTCTCAATTCTTTTTTTTTTTTTTTTTAAATTCCTTACTTTGAAGCTAGTTAAGGGTGCATTAACAAATCCAATTCCTCCTCCCCCTAAAGGGACTTCCCTCAATGGAAAAAGAGGCTGAGGTTGAGCTTCAGGGAGAGGGGGAAAGGGGAAATTTTGGATATCCTTTTGGCATTATTCTAGTTCTTTTCTAAGTTTTGGTAGTGATGGGTATTTAATGGGGGCAAGGGGACTGGGGGAGCTTTTCCGGGAAGCTAGTGTAGGGTCAAGGGTGGAGGTGGGTTCATCAGGCGAAGCTTGGGACACAGGCTGGGGGAGAGGATTATAAGGGGGGGTTAGGGAGGAGAGGGTATCCCATGAAGGGGGTTTGGTTTCTTGGGCCGATTCTTCTTCTTCCCTTTCTCCTTCCTTTTTTTCAGCTTGAAGGGGAAAAAGGACAACTGGGCCCTGCCTCCAACAGAGAGCATAGTCAATTTCTTCCTGGGACACAGGGCTTTTATCATTTACATACTCAATCAAGAATTGACAAATCCGATCCTCACATGTGCCAAATTTGGGCCAAAAGATAGAGGGTTTGAGGATGGGTTCCTGTGTCCAAATAAAACAGCAATACTTAACCATTTGTTCTTTTTTTTTCTTCCCTTTAGTCCGAGGGTTCTCTTTCCAGGATTTTAACATTAATCCCAATGGACTATCAAGGGGGAGTTTGTTGTTTTGGGTCCCATTTTCTCTAGAGATTCTTTTACTAGTGTTATTTCCCATCCCAGTTACCTGGTTGTGTTTACAAAGAGGCTCAACCTACCCCTATACTTGGAGGTTTCTTGCTCTCTATATTTTCGCTTAGTCCGTCTCTGGCTGCTTCCCTCTTGGGAACGCTGGACCCCTCTTAGCAATTGGCGTGTCGGTATAAACCCCCGACTTGGATCAAGTCCCTGACTCAATACTGCCCTCAGCTGTATGAGGTGGTCACGAAACCGCGGATCAGGACTCCACACTTGTTTAGTGCCCAAGGCATATCTCATTCACACACACACAACCTCCAGGATGTCCCAACCACCAAAGGAAGTGCTGTTCACCCCCGCGGATTTCCTTACCTTTGGTCCGTGCACGAAGTTACCTGGTTGCCACGTGGTGCTTGAGTAGGCCTTTTTCCCACTTTGCCAAGTGTCCAGATTTATTTGCTTCCTTGGGAGGCTTCAGCAGATCTCACCTGAGGGCTTCTGTAACTGGACAGCAAGATGCGTCTCCCTCAGAGGAGAAGGCTAAAGCTACTTCCCAAAGGGAATGGGAAATCCCAGATGGGCCCCTAAAGTGTTAGAAATGAATCTTGATGTCGCGTAAAAGACACTCAGTGAGACTAAATTACCTTGACAAAGTAAAATTTACTCTTGCAAGAGGGTGCGTGCACATAGCTGTACATACACAAACAGGCCAGCAAGCAAACTGAGTGGGCAGTCCACTCGGGTTTTTAATCCTTGACGTGAATCTCAAGGCTGTGTCTCACCCTATTGGCTAGTGTTTTGACTGCACAGTCTATTCCCTTATCCGGTTGGCTAGTTCAAATTTTTAAGGTGAATATTTCTACTTTAGGAAAAGAAGAAGAGAGCAATCATAAATTCTTTGCTCCAGGAAGTAGTTTAAGGAAAAAGAAAGTGGTCATAAAAATATTTTCCACATAGGTTTACATTAACAATGTGGCTGTAAATCAGTAGCCTATGTGTTCTGGGAGCAAAGGGGAAAGGTTATTCAGAGCAGTAATGATCAGGAACAACCATTAAAAAGAGTTTGAACAGAGAAAAAAAACATATTAAAAAACCTTCTCTCACAGTGATTTTATTTTCTCTGAGCCTCAGTTTTTACTCCTGTGAAATGGGTATAATACTGCCACAATGAAAGAGCGTCTTGGAAGTCAGATGTTTTTGCCTGCTTGACAATCGTACCCCCCATTCTATTATAAGCACCCATGATAAGGTCTTCTGGAGTCAGAAGAAGTGTGGTTAAAGCAAAAGGTACCACTGGGGGATAGTGTTGTGTGGGTGACAACAAAGTTGAAACTGAATGAAAGGCCAAGTGGGATGATTCAGCTGGCTTGCTCTTACTCCTGTGCCCTGATGGCACTGTGGGTTAGGCATTGGACTGCTAACCACAAGGTCAGTGGTTTAAACCCACCAGCCTCCCCATTGGAGTAAGATGAGGCTGTATGTTCCCATAAAGATTTACAGTCTCAGAAAACCTATGGAGCAGCTCTTCTTTGTCCTATAGTGTGACTTCTTGTTGTTGTTAGCTGACTTATTAGAGTTAATTCTGACTCATAGTGACCCTGATTAAGGTTTCTGAAGAGTGGCTGGTGAATTTGAACCAACAGCCTTGTGGTTCAAACTGACCTTGCGGTCCAGTACTTACCCTACAGTGCTACACCAGGACTCCATAGTGTGACTATGAGTCGGAATCAACTCATGGCAGTGGGTTTGATTTTTGCTTGGTTTCTGTTGCTTGGATATATCACATCTGCCTGGAAAATTCTTTCCCTTCAGCTTCTCTTGTCTCACTCCCCATCTCATTCAGGCTTCTGATCAAATACCACTGCCTCAGTGAGGTTTTCCATGACCACCCACTCAGGGAATCTTAGGGCCTTAATTCCTAGTGTTGGCATGGTATATTGTCTATCACAAATCAAAACCCAAGCCTGCCCACTGCCATACAGTCTATTCTGACTCATAGCGACCCTCTAGGGCAGAGTAGAACTGCTCCACAGAGTTTCTGAGACCATCTTTATCAAAGCAGACAGCCTCACAAATCTGAAGAGCAGCTGGTGGGCTTAAACCATTGCCCTAGCAGTTAACAGCCCCATGTTTAACTCATGATACCACCAGGGTTCCTTGTCGATAATAGTCACCCACTAAATATTTGATAAAGTCCCTGGTTCAACGTCTAAGCTCTTGGTTGCCAAGCAAACGATTGTTGGTTCAAACTTACGCAGCAGCTCTGTGGGAGGATGGCCTGGCAATCTTCTTCTGTAACTATTACAGCCAAGAACACCCTCTGGGTCGTTCTTTATCCCATGAGGTTGCTATGAGTCACAATCGACTGATGGCACCCACCAGCCACAGATACAAGGGGGCTTCAAAAAGTTCATGGAACTCTTTCTCTTCAGCAAGGTGGCCAAGGGGCAGACGCAGAGATGCAGATCTTTGTGAAGACCCTGACAGGCAAGACCATTACTCTTGAGGTGGAGCCTAGTGACACCATAGAGAATGTCAAAGCCAAAATCCAAGACAAGGAGGGTATCCCCCCTGACCAGCAGCGTCTGATTTTTGCGGGTAAACAGCTGGAGGATGGCCGCACTCTCTCAGACTACAACATCTAGAAAGAGTCCACCCTGCACCTGGTGCTGCATCTGCGTGATGGCATCATTGAGCCTTCCCTGCGCCAGCTCGCCCAGAAGTACAACTGTGACAAGATGATCTGCCGCAAGTGCTCCGCTCACCTGTGCTGTGAACTGCCACAAGAAGAAGTGCGGCCATATCAACAACCTGCGCCCCAAGAAGAAGGTCAAATAATAAGGACTCCTCTCTGCTGGCTCCCCTGCCTCCCGCTAGTGGGGTTCTTCTGAGACCCATGGCCCTGGGCCCTCAATAAAGTTTCACTTTCATTGAACCGAAAAAAAAAAAAAAAAAAACATGGAAAAATGGAATGAAAAAATACTGAAAAATTTCCACAAACTTTTTGAAGCCCTCTCTTATTTGATGGGTAAGGGGAGGATTTCTATATTCTCCAAGAGACGAGAATTTACAACAAGGAGACTATGGGAAGAGAAAATATGCACTCAGTCATTTTAAATATATATCTGGAACCGCCCAGCCACTTGTTATAAATACACTTAGTTCTCTCCATGGTCTTATAAGGTGGCTCTTATAATATGATGTGGCTCTTAAAATGTAATCATGCCAACCAGTTGCCATCACGTTGATCCCGACTCATGGTGCACATTAGAGTAGAACTGTTGTTAAGTGACGTGGAATCAGTTCTGACTCTTAACAATCCTGTGTAGAGTTTCTGAGGATTGGCTGCTATGTTTGACCTTCCAACCTTACAGTTAGCAGTCATACAGTTAGCAGTTAGCAGTCATACAACGCCATACCAGGACTCCTAGAATAGAACTGTACTCCATCATATTTTCTATGGCTGAGTTTCATAGAAGTAACTCACCAGAAATTTTTTTCAAAGGCTTCTCTGGATGGATTTGAACCTCCAACCTTTTCGTTAGCAGCCAAGAGTGTTAACCATTTGTACCATCCAAGGACTCCATAATAGTAATACTCACTGCCATTGAGTTGATTCCAACTCACAACTACCCTATGAAACAGAGTTGTTTTTACTTCATAGGATTTCTGAGACTGGAAATCTTTAAAAAAGCAAACTGTCTCATATTTCTCCTGAGGAGCAGCTGGTGGGTTTGAACCACCAACCTTTCTGTTAGCAGACCAATGTTTAACCCACTGCACCACTGTGGCTCCTTATAATAATAATGGCTGACATTTATTGAGTATTCTGTGTCAGACACTGACTGTGCTAAGTGATTTATTTACATACAGTCTCTTCACTAAGTTCTCATAACCACCCTTTGAAGTTGGCATCATTTCAACCTCCACTTTACAGAAGATTAAACTGAGGCCCCGAAAAGTGAAGTAGTTTGCCTGAGGTTACACAGCAGAAATAGTGTTTGAACCTAGGTACATGGTGACTTCAAATACCCCTAGGGTGGGTTTTTGTTTTGCTTTGCTTTCTCATCCCAGGAGACTTTTATTTGCTTGTCTCTGGTACAAGGACAATTCTCTCAGTGTCCCTGGAGAAGAAGATGGCCTTTCCCTGGGTCTTGGCTGTGAGGGGACACCCGATGATGAAGAGGAGACTGGCCAGCACTGCATTGAGGATGGCGGTCACATAGCCCCAGCCCAGCTGGCATTGTCCGCTGCGGTACATGGAGGAGGCACCACACACTTCCTTAGCGAATGGAGAGGCTAGGCTGATTGGGAAAACCAGCAGACCCACAACAGTGGTGGTTGCTGCAGACAAGAAAGTGTATGAATCAGGGGGCTCTGGACTAACTTCCCATTCCAGGTTTCACTCATTCACCATCCACCCATTCATTTCCTTTTCTGCTCATATATCCTACTCCACTTACTCACTGAGTCTTCCACCTACCTGCCATCCATCCACCCAGCCATAGTCCAATCCACCATTTTCTCCAAATCTTCATCTACCTTTCCATTTACGTATCCATCCATCCACCCACCCACTGACTATCCATCCCCCACCCCTGCAACTTTATTCCAATCCATCCATTATCTCCATCCCTCCATCCACCTTTACATTTACTCAACCCTCAATCCACCCATTGACTCATCTATCCATCCTTCATTCTCCATCCATCCAACCAAAATCCTACCCACTGATTTCTCCCACCCCTTTATCCACTCATCCATCCATCTTTCCATCCATTAATGCCCATTAATCCAGCCAGCATTTCATCATTCCACTTACCTATCCACTCACTCATGCATCCAACAACATGTCTACCCGTCTACCCAAGCATTGATCCATCAAAACTGTTACAGAGCTGATGTGCAGGACAATGAGGATCTATAGAGGTGAACAAGCGAACAGGGTACCTCCTTGCCTTCACCGAGCTCCCAGTGCAAGGGGGCTCCAGTGAACCCCAGCCTCACTTGCTACTTAACAGCACACTGATCTCCTTGAACATGGTTTTCTCTCTTGTTGTCTTTGTTTCTGCAGCACCCACCACCTGCTTCTACTCATCCTTTAAGACTCAGTTCAAACGATACCTCCTGAGGAATGGTGAGTGGACCTTTTACTCAGCAGTGGAGTGCTTAACCACTGCATGACCAGGACTCCTTGGGAAACCATTAGAGTGTAGATCTGTAGATTCGTAGATTTATTGTGGGTGTTAGTTACTACCGAGTGTGCTCTATAACAGAGCAAAATCTTGCCTGGTCCTACACCATCCCCATGGTCACCATTGTACTTGAGTCCACTGTGTCGACTATTATATCCAACCATCTCACGAAGGGTCTCACTCATGTTTGCTGATCCCTTCTTCTACCAAATAGCATTATATCCTTTTTCTAGCAACTGGTCTTTCCAGATGACCTGTCCAAAGTAAGGGAGCCAAAGTCTCACCATCCTCCCTGCTAAGGCACATTCTGGTTGTGTTTCTTTAAGAGTGATTTGACGATTCTTCTGGCAGTTCACAGTATTCTTCACTAACATGGCAGTTCGAATCCATCAGGTCTTCCATCTTCCTTTTACATTGCCCAGATTTTGCATGACTATGAGGTGATTGAAAAGATCATGTGTGGGTCATGTGCACCGTAGTCCTCAGAGTGACAGATTAAATAGGACTCATTTGGCCATTTGTGATTAACAAGCTCTAGAAGACATCACCTCCCTTTGTATTTTACTTAAGGTAATTTCTGTTGACTCATTTCCATGTTCACTGATTGTATCATTGGCTATAAGAGTTTAATAATGATTCAATTAACAGAATTCATCTTTGTCACCATTTTTCTAGTTTCTCTGTCTCTGATAGTTTTCATATCTAAGTCATACTCACCATCTGTGTATGTGTATTTTTTAGTTCACTAGATCCTTTAACATGTTAAATCACAATTAAAAAAAAAAACTTTTGCTGTGAATTAAATGATAGTTTACAGGGCAGATCATCAGTTTTGCATTCAACCAGTCATATTTGTTTAAATTGCTGTAATCATGATTATCTAAAAGGCCTGATTTGCTTATTCTAGCATTTTGGTTATCTCGGAATCTAGTTATTATGTTCATTACATTTTTCCTTGATGATGGTTTTGTTGCTTTTGTGTATATTTTACAATTTTTGATTGCATGCTAGACATGTGGTAGAGAACAGTGCAGTAGCATTTGCAGCTGGAAATGGGCACACCTGTATTTCTG